AGCTTAGAATAATTAGAACTGATTTATAGGAATTTAGCAAACTGCGCTACAGTAACATATCATTGATAAAAGTATATCCCAGGAGAAATATTCTTCTTATTATTATACTATAATGTTCCCTTAAAAAGAATGTAATATTTTAGCAATCATACTTAGTATTGCCGATTTTTCAAGAAACACAAAATTCACAAGGTTTTGCAAGCGAGTACACCATTCAATACTTTACAAATGAGTCGCACTTGATCAAACAAACCATAGGCTTATACACAACCGTCCAGGAGTAATTTAGTCAGGTATTTTTTTAAAATGTTAATATGCAAAATATAGAATTAATACTAAATATGCATAAATTTTAGACTTGAGCCTTCTTGACGTGCTTTCGTGGTGTAGTGGTCTGCACGCTGGGCGCGTATTCCAGAGATCCGCGGTTCGATTCCCGGAGAGGGGGTTGCTCATTTTTCAAGTCTCCTGCTTCCATAAAATATCGAATGTCTCTGCAATCTAAGTGAAGAAATATTCGACATAACAGACATTTAACTTTTTCTTATAATATAAATTTTTGCGTGGGAACAGTTTTACATTGAGCTGAAAATAAGTTTATGTATTCTGCAGTAAAAATTTACATTCATTCAATTAATTATTTATGTACTGAAAATTGTTTTTTCATTTTATGTAAAATTTATCTGGCGAAATTGAATTTAGAAATTTTCTGCATTGGCTATAATTTTCTTCCTTCTGCAAAGATTTACGTATATATATATATACGTAAACGAGACATATTTTGTCGAATGCCGTAACAGCATTGCCGTATCCTTTTGTGTTAATATATTCAAAAATTTTAAATGCTATTACGTAAATTACAGCATTATATGTTACATGAAGGGGATTAAATTGAATCCAAATTCAAAATATTTACATGTCTTTTCACTCATATTTCTAACAATTTTATTTTCATAGGGAAAGTTACCAAACACTGATGATATAATAAAATTGACAGTCATTTGTGTTCTATATTCTTAAGCAGAATACATAATGCAGCTCATCAGCGCTCCAGCGGTCGCCAGGGCCGTAGCTAGAAGGGGGCAAAGGGGGCATCTGTCCCCGGGCGCAGAATCCAAGGGGCGCCAAACTGATATTACGACATTGTAGAATTAAATCTTCAGTTGTCCCTGGGCGCTGAAAACCCTAGCTACGACTCTGGCGGTCGCTTAACACTGACAGTTCGACAGGGGCTCAAATCCCAGCAAACAAGCTGGTTGCAAGATAATTTAGTTATTTCTTGTATTTCGTTTTGAAATTCCGTGTGTATAAGTAAATATATATGATCAATCAAGTTTCCAGTTCTTACATCCAAATTCATTGTAAGGTAAATACAATCAAGTTTCCCATTCTCATACTTCGTTAAGTCCTCCACGAAGGCATCCCTTCTCTTAGACAGACAGTTCCCGTGCTTTGCCATGATTCAAATAACCACCAAAGAAGAAATGAGGAGAAAATGCAGTAGATACTAGCTATTCAAGGGATAGAACAATTATTAATAGATGTAGAAGAGCATTTTTGAAATCATTTCTTGAGTACCAATTCCGGGGAGTTCTAAATCACCGAGAGTTCTTAAATGTTAAATAACTTCAGTGCCTTTAATTGAGTCTGAAAATTGGATTGATGGAGTTGAAGTTTTTTGAATTTTAAAATTTGCAATTTGCTAGAAAAGACGAATTTTCTGCTCAAGTGCTTGCAACAATATTGAAAATTCAAAATTTGCGAATCTATGGGCGACGTACGTCATTAATTACATCAAATGCTTCTAATAATTATTCTAATAACTATTTTAGAGTTTAACATAAAAACTCTAAAATTGCAGGGACTGTAAATAATCTAAAGATATTTAGAAATACAACAAGATTTGACAGTTGAGGAAAATTGAAAAATACACTAATTATCATAAAAGATGAACTGAAAAATTATAATGTAAGAAAGAAAAATTTTCTCCTTTCTTTTTGTTTATTTTCACAATTTTAAAAAAAAAAATGATATAAATCTAAAATTTGGTTACTTAGGGAAATTGCTATAAATTAAGCATAAAACAAATCAGTGCGAGAATGGTTTTTGCATACGAACTGCGACTGCAACACATTTCAACCAGTTTTAACCAGCTCCAGATGTTAAAAAGTTCCATAATTAAGATCTTCTCATTGTAAATGCACAAAGTTTAAATCTTGGCATAAAATTAAATAACTTGGGCATTTAAAGCCCGAATAAATTTTTGCAATAGCATACGTACAAAATAATGATCAACAATTGATTCAAGGCTTTCATACGAATACAATAATCCGAATGGAATGTAAAAGATTATTACTATTCTAATTTATATTGAAAGTTGTTACACGACCTTGAAAAATCAATATTATAATTTATAAGGCAGACATGTAACTGAAATTATTAAATGCCACAAAAATGCAAATATAATGAGACTTTTCTAATGCGACCACTAACGGCGGCTTCAAGCGATTCTTTTTTCTTACATTATAATTATTTTAAGCCACTTATATAGATGGTTGCATTAGAGGGGCAAATGTATAAAAGCCTGTTTATTTATGTTGTAGGAAAAACACTTTTAGAGTTCGCCGTCATGAGATTCTCTGTACTTATATGTAAAACAGTTACAAATAATACGTCTTACTAAAACGATCTGACATATTTAGGCTTCTAAAATGATGTGAAAAATTTCAAAAAGGAAATCTAACAGAAAAAAAATCCTGATTTGGTTAATTTAAAGCAGTTAACACAGTTTATGATAAATAAAACATTAATTAAAGCATCACAGGATTCAGTATGAGAAAAAATTAGCATAATCATCAATTCAGATTATTTAGGTTATGGCAAAGTACCAGGGGTGCTTCCTTTGGTGAAGCTTCCTTTCTTTCTCAGGTCATTGTAAGCTTATCTGCTATTTATGTGTTCGAAATTCCAGGTCTTTTGTTAACTTCCTGCTCTTTCCTGAACTGCGGCCAAGACTCATTCATGTGAGGTATCACTGGTGCTTTACAAGGTCATTGAGTCAAGCACATCCCGCTCTGGGCGATATTTCCGGCTTACAGATAATCGTTTGTATTGCAAGTTCTTTGACTGAAAAATGCAGGACAATAACTCGTCATTCTAAATATGACAAAAGAACGTCTATGTATATTCTTTGGTATGACCACAAGGAACTGTTTCATCCAATCACAGCAAACTATAGAAAGAACGGTCTGTGGGCTCTGTGATATTTGGAATACTTAAATGTAAGGTACTAAACTGGAGGTTTTTCTTCTTTGAATTTCTTAAATAAAATTTAAAGGATTTTCAAATAAAGGACGGATTTTAGATCATATATTACTGAGCGAAGAAAAAGCGGAATTCTCAAACATGGTCGCTCTTTGGCTTACTGACGGTAGTTCGGTGGAATATTTGGATTTGTGTGCTCCGGAATTTCATGAAAAACGAAATACTACCTTAATTTATGCTCTGGATTTGTGTGTAGCTCCTCGACGATATATTTTAACCAATGTTCCCACTAATCGCGAGCGAATGTGGAGATATCAGAAACAAAGTTTTGAACATGACAGTTTTTTCCCTAATACGAAACTGATTCAAGTATTTACACAACGATTGGGAGTAAACATTGCCAATATGACTGTGTCATTCTCTTTCTTCAACGATTTTAGTGAAGTTATATTGCAAAGACTGGCTACGAAATGGGAGCTAAAGGCAGCTGGACGCTTTTTAAAACATGTGAAGGCTTACTGTGACTATGTAGAAAAATCGTTGTTTCGTGCTTATTTGTTGTCTAATCCCTATTGCGTAACCATAACATTTGAGAAACCCCCTGTATGTTACCGTAGGGATAGTAGCTTAGCATTCATAACTTACGTACAGGAGGAAGCAGCTAGCAAGATAATGAAGATTTTATTTGAAAACCTTTGTACAGATTCCAAACTTGTTGCGGGATTTTTTCATACAATGTGCATACGTGGATTGACGATTAGATTGAGGGCTTTGTTTACATACGAAGCTAAAGTTCTGGACTATATTTTAGAACATTTGACAAGAGAAAAGTATGATATTTTACATATTTTTGACATTCTTAATAGAAAAAACAGTAGCGAAATTCGAAGCAATCCAGAACATTTACTTGTACTCCTCAAATACGGACTGAAGTTTAAATTTGAGCCTAATCCGTTAGCTCTCATCATGTTTAATCAGTTTTATCCATCTAGGTATCAGAGGGAAATTTGGTAAGTCTTTATTTTTTTTTTTTTTTTTTTTTTTTTTTTTTTTCTTTTTTTTTGCTGCATATTTTATATCTTAACTTTACGTCATTCAGAGGAAAAAAAAAAAAGTTTTTTTTTTTTTTTTTTTTTTTTTAAAGTCATCACAATATTTTTTGTAAGGTGTAGCTCAAAATAAAATGTTGGAATTGCTGTATAATAATAGATGCAGGAATCACTGGATTATTTCCTTATGACAGAGCCCATCACAGGTATTTTTAGAAGGGGAAGAATGCCGTCAGCAAATTTAAGTTCCACCGAGCTATTGTAGATACATTACGTAATAATTTGGAAACTTTCGAATCCTTAAAAATTGAAACGATATCTGTGAAAACTTCTAAAAGGGGGTAGATTAGATTTTAGTTTTTCGTTGTAAGTTTGTTTATTAGATGATGTTTCTTTCTTGGATTGCTGCTTGATAAATGCAGGAAATTCTTCAATTCTAGAAGGGACTGGGGGATACTCAGATAACCGGCACTTGGCGAACTTCCTGAAATCGCGTTCGGCAACTTGGGCGATACGCGCCATACAGTGGGAGGATAGTTTAGGTTGTTAGTTTAGATCTTTACTACGCTAAGGAGAAAGAGGAAAAGGAAGTGATATTTTCTTTCTATATGCAAATACTTTGAGATGAATCGTCGTGCTGATCACGTCAGCACTTTGTTAGCCGACGTGGTGCATACGCTCATATGCTGTTTGTTGTTCCGTATGATCATTCGCAATTTAATTATTTTATTAGAACACAATATTATTATTTATTAGACTATTAAAATCTATTAGACGTCTAAATACTATTAAAATATAATTATTAATTACCGGACGAGGCTTCAAGTTGCTATAAACCATTCGCTATTTCGCTATACTAAAAAAAAAAAAAAAAAAATTAGAAAATAAATTACTATTAAAATTATTAATGATTTAAAAAAGAAATAATTAAATATTACCAAATTAATTCATAATTATTTAAACAATATTAAGAATTAATACTGAACTCACAGTTGCCGTTTAATTACCTTATAAATTAATTATTTTTATAATTACAACAAAGTAGATAACATACGGTCTTTTTCTAACTTATCGTTCGCATGGGCACATTTTTTAAATTATTTATTTAATATTTAAGTATATGAGTGTTATTTATCTAGCCTTAACAAACAGGAATTAATTTCTAAATAAATAAATTGTACTTCTAACACGAATTATTTAAAATAAGAAAAGCACCTGCGGGTTATTTGCTTAAGATGACGGAAATCCGTTAGACGAACTACCAGTGTACAACAGTTTTACCGCTATCTCACGGACAGACACTCTGTATCACACAAGCAATTTTTTAATTCCTCCTAATCAAGTTTATATTGAAATAAAATGCTTATAAGAGTTTAAAATGCTAATAAGTTAATGTAAAATACTAAAGAAACAATATTCTGCTACTTTTCTATGTCAAGTATATTTCACTGATTTCTTTACATAAAGGATTTTGTGGTGTTGGTGTATCAGTAAAAAATTTAAACTATTATACAAAACATGAGTAAAATTCTTTCACAGATAAACCAATAAAAGTTAATTAAATTTATATCATCAAATCTTTGAATAAGATTTAACTTCACAGATTTTTCTGCTGTGTTGTTACTCATGTTAGTTTTTAATGGCAATGAATGTAAATAATTTAATGGTAATGAATATAAATTTTAGACTTAATTCTGGATTAATTATTTAATAATATAAGTACGTGCTCACAGCACAAAGCGGGGCAGAATATTCTAGTTGGAAGATGTTTCAAATGTCAGTTTCCCTTTTTGTAAGTCCGTAAGATTAAGAAGGCTGCAAATTTGGGCCTGTACTTAGCGAACAAATAGGAATTTTTCTAACATTTGCAAGAAGTAAATAATAGCCTTTCTTGGGACATAAATAATTTATTATCTGATCTTAAAAAATGCGTTTCTACCTGGAAAGTTATAATTAAAATCATCTGAAAGTGTAATTTTTATAAAAGGTGTTAAACAATGTTAATCCTAAGTACTCCTCTCTTCTTCTTGTTGTTACTAATGCCCACTGGTTTAACCTAAGGTTCCTATATAGGCTATTTAGAGGAGCCTTAGTTTAACCTATAGTCAGCCCAAGCTCACGAAATTCCTCGTGGCAAGGAGCGCAAAATATGCACAAGCGTCTAGCCCCTCAGATGCTAGTTTCCTCCTCATTCCTCCCTGATCATTTGCGCAGATTCACGCGCAACGTGTTTACCCCAGGAAGGTCGGCGTGCTCAAAGCCTATTTTTTTAAAAAAGCCACGCTATTATGTTACAAACTTGGTGCGTGTTACTAAGTGTAAATTAATTTCTTTGATTAGTTTTATGCAATAATTTTCTTTTTAATTGGGATATATATTTATTTGTTCAGATATTTTATTATAAATCTATACATAAAGGAAGAATTCCTGATTTATTCATTTATTCATCTACAGATCATCGCCCAAAGCTATTAGAGATACAGATATCAAAACTTAGGAGCTTATTCCTTTTGTACCGAAGGTATCATTTAAGAAGCGATTCTTTAAGATTCGGCGGGCAAAACGTGTTTATATGTTTTTTCATATGAGGAAGAAACAGATGTACATAAAATTCTTTCTTTAAAATGTATGGAATATGAATACCTAAAAACCAATTTCAAACATTTTCAAAATTCGGCCCAAAGGGGGGAGGAACTTGTTCTTCACATATTCCTTCATACCTCAGATATCCATAAGACAAACTTATGAATTATTGCTGTAAAATGTAAGGAACACGAATAAATGCTGATATCAACATGTGTGGGGAGGGGGATTGATTGGCATAAAATGCGAGTTTACATAATGTAGAAGTAAGCCTTATTAAAGGTACACACCAGGTATGTAAAGCTAGTTAGTATATAAAAAAAATTAGGGTTTCTATTATTTAATGTTATCAATAATTAAAACCACAAAATAAAAATGTAGCAGCATGTGGCAATTCACAAAACTGTGATGTTATTTTTGAAATCGTGATGAGATTGTTACAATGTTCAATTAGTTTTAAACAATTTTACCCACATAATAAAATGCCCCCCCCCCGGTGCACAACATGTGGATGTACATGGGGTTGTCAGTTTCACCAAAATATAATTGGCTACATTAAAATGTTTGGTAATAATCTATTGACTGAACAGTATAAAAGTCAATGAATGATTGATTGTATGGACAATATTTGATACTGTTGGACTCTGGGGGGGGAAGGAAGACAGTAATACAAGGAGGATGAACAAAAATAGACTTACTCATTAATCACTCATAGACTTACTCGTAGAATCCAAAATAATTTTTAGAATTTTGTTATTGTCTTCATTTTGTGAAGTTACTATAGAAGTTTTTTGTCAATTTCCTTTTCGTTTTGTATTTGGGAATCTTTTGGGTATTATATTTTTATTTAGGTGGAATATCTTTATTAGCAGTGGAGAAATTTATTTCTTGTGCATTTAACATATCAACAGTTTCTAGTTGTAGTGGTGCTGATTTTAAAATCCTGTTTAACACATCACATTGTTTGTCAGATTTTAATGAATCTACTAATTCTAAACATGTTTGTTTTAGTTCATTCTGTGTTCCAGTGAGAGGGTCTGTAAATTTTTTTTTTTTTTTTGGCTACTTATTTCAAAATTAATTCATTTTCATTATCTATAATAAGTGGAGATTCATTATGTACTGTAGTTGTAGTATTAGTAGCAGTATTTCTAGTGTGCTGATGTAAGTAATGTGTCTATTTGCACATACTCCTCCTAACTTATAAGGTATTTCTCCCGCCTTCTTGGTGTGGTGGTCAGCACACTGGGCGTATATTCCAGAGGTCCACGGTTCGATTCTCGGCGAAGGCATTGCTAATTTTTCAATCTCTCTCTTACTTCCAATGTAGAATTCTAATGTCTTTATAGTGGCGCCCGGACTAAAAGAGTGTTAGATGATTGTTCTCCACACCCAGGATTTGGAGATTGGGTCCTCTAAAAACCCCAGTCGCCCTTTAAAAGAAGGAGTATAAAGTATTTCTCCCACCTTCCTGGCATGACTTCGTGGTGTGATGCGTATCCAGAGGTCTGCGGTTCGATTCCCAGCGAAGGCGTTGCATATTTTTTATCTTACTTGCTTCCAAAAGAATACCTAATGTCTGTACAAACTGATGAATCAATACAGCTGCATATATATCAATGAATGCCTATATTACACTCAGTGCACTGTATGTGACATGTACAAGTTTTGTTACTTTCATGTATAGTGTATATTTCTGTATTATGTGTTGATGAAACAGACCACCCGTTCTCATTCGCTATTACATATAAAGATAGTGTTTCATTAGTTTTATGTCTGATTCTTAAATCCCAAATCTTACTTGTTAATTTACCTTTATTTGCTGTAATTAAGCGATTAATCATTTTATCTCTTACAAATCTCATAATACCATATATAGTGTTATCCAATCTCTTAAATTTTTTTCCATGAAGATAAATATATTTTAATGTTCGGTGCATTCGTTCGATGTGCATGTTTGTGTTAACACCACTGTGAAGTCTACTATAACAATATGCCCAGCTAGATGTATTTTGTAAATAATATGTTTCAAAGTAATTTGCAAATTCAATAGTGTCAGGATCTTCTTTAAGATAAGTAATTTTCTTTCTGCTCATTCATGTGTATGAAAAGTGCTGAATTCTGTCAGTGTCTTATGAAAAGTATGATGAAAAGTATGAATGTCTTGTTCTTCTAAGAGAGATCTAATAATTTTATATGTTTTTGCCTGTTTTTCAACACCATTGATTTTTTTTTTTTAAAATTGTTTCTCCAGGCTTCTATCAATATGCCATGCACAAAAAAGACGTTTCTGTAGTAAACCCATTTCAGACTTCCAAGCATTAAAAAAAGATTCAGCCATATCAGACATAAATATTTGTGGTTGTATTTGCCCAACA